TATATATTTAGGGTGGTATTTGAGAATACCGCTCCCCATATGTGTTATTCGTCCTTGTAGGGATCGAATACGGGTTAGAGGAGTCTTATGACTGACAACACAGCTTATATATATATATATATATATATTACTATTTTATTCTATTTTTTTATTTATATTTTTTGCATTCAAATCTCTAATAGTCAGCACATTCTACACGCCATTTGGTTAGTTGCAATAACTCAGTAATGAAAAAAATAAAGTAGAAAAAAAGCTGAAATTAATAAATTTTCACAGTTTCAAATTTAAGCTTTTGATGGTGATTATGTTGGAGTGGCTGAATAGAGGGAAAATTATCTAGTTAGTTACTCAATTGTCATGATAAAAAAAATATTTTAAATAGAAGTTAGTCTCTCAATTGCAATGTGATGAACAATCAAGAAGAGAGAAACCCATCTGTTAAGATAAAAGTCATTTATTGCCATACATCGGGAAGTATGTGCTTGGTTTTGTATGCTTTTGACTTTTTTCTTTGAATTTGGTTTTTCTGCATAAATCCTTTCCTTTTTTTTTTCCCAATTGTCATCTTTTTTATCTATTAATTTTATACGTTGGATTTTAATGAATAATGAAGCATGAAAGGTAATTGCTAGCTTGTTCTCTAGTAGTTTTTCTTCAAAGTCATTTAAGGCAATTCCTAATGACCATCTAATGTGAAGTTGAAGAAGTCTGGTCTAATTTTGTTCCATCGTAATGTACGGAGTATTCAAATTATAAAGGAAACACACTATAAGCACACTATAAGCCTTTCAAATGAAGTTTCAAACAATGGACATTTATGCTGTTGTTGTATGCCTAAATAGTATATGTAACTTATTTTCTAGCAATATATGAAGTTATTATTCATAATAATTTTACCATATAAATTTGAGCGTCATATAGCTTTTCTACTTTCCTTGTATTCTTCTTTTGCAGCAATTGAAGCGATTGACATTACTCGTATTTTATCTCGCAAGGGTGGTGAGCCTGTTTATCCCCTCCCAAGAGTTAAAAATTTGGCCGTTCATCCAAAGTTAAACCTAGCAGCACTACTCTTCACTGTAAGTAACCATTGACGCATAAAAGTCATCTGAACATTTGAGAAGCCAGGTGGCCTGCGACTTCCATTCCACTTTCTCTTTGTAACAGAATATGGCTGGTGGAGATAAGCAAAAAAGTAGAGCTGCGTATACTAGGGATGGAAGGAAACAACTGTTTACTGTTCTTCAAAGTGCAAGGGGATCCACCGGTAATTTTTCTTTTTTAAATTCTTTTGTCTTTTCTTAGTATACTCGGTCAGGAAACTAGAAACTTATGATTTAGGCATCTTATTTACGACTTTTTCATGTGGATAATGAGTTGCCATTATCATCTGAGCTTTCATTTGCTATAAAATTTAAATGGCAAAGCATACTTTATAAATATTGCTGTTCTCTTCTCCGAACATTTGAATTGATAATTTATTGCCTCTTAATTTTTTAATTGAATTGGAAATTTTATGGTAAAACTGCTATAGTTGCGGAGCTATTTCTTAATTTTATCTTTAATCAAATGGGGATAAGGTAGTTTGTTTCCCTCAGGTTCATTTTTGTTTCTCTTTTAAATTATCATTTTCAAAATTGTATCAAATAATGACAAAAAACAAGCGTTTATCCCACTAAGTTGGGTCGGCTACATGAATCCATTTTCTCTCTTGTGACCTATTGAGTGTCATATTTTTATTTAATTCTAATAGATTTAGATCATTTTCTATACAATATGCTCAACTATTTTTAGGTCTGTCTCTGCCTATCTTAACATAAGTTGAATCTAAAACTTCCACTCTCGTAATCGAATCATCAGATAGTCGACGTATAATTTGACCAAACCATCTAAGGTGACTCTCTTTGATCTTAGATTTATAAGGCTTTAGGGAAGCATGACCTTACTTCCAATTTGCGGTGTAAATGAGTCAAACATGAGCATCCTAGCGCCTATTCGTGTTCGTCTTGTTTAAATTTTTTTTTTGTTCGAAATGAGATTGTGTTCGAAATGGCTTATAAATAGCCTTGTTTGTATTATAATCGATTCAAATTCTAATTTGTTTAAATTAACTCGTGTTTCACTCGATTTTGAGCTTGAGCCTGCATATTTTATTTCATTCAAACTCTAATTGTAGAAATAAAACTTTTATTTTAAAATGTTTCCAATAAAAGATGATATAAACATATCCAATCTCCTCTTTCTGATCATGTGAAGAGAAAAATTAAATTTTCTTTTACGCTTTTGTATTTATATAGGATTGTTAATTGGAATTTTTTTATATGCAAGCGATGTGGGGCTAAATTCTATATGGGAATAGCATGGGCAGCCGGGCAGAACTGCAGAACTCTTGCGCCATTACGCATTTACATACATGCCAACTTTTTATGCGAACGGTAGAAAAGACAACAGTAAACATCAGATTTTTAGGGCATTTACATACATATTACCGAACTCTTATGTATTTACATATATAAACCTCTTTTTTAGGGACATTTACATAGATACCACCCAAATCCTATTTATTTACACATCTTACACCTAAATTTATATATTTTTTTATAACTCTAGCACCCAAATAATTTTTAAAAATAATAAATTTAGCATTTTTTAATACATATAAAAAATTAATATAAATATGGTATAAATAAACATTATTATTTAATTATGTAATTATTTTGAGCCAAAAATGAGTTAAATATGAATTAAAAAAAATATTGTACGAGTTCGGCTCGTTTATAAATCAAGTTTACAAATTAAATATTCGTGTTCGGCTCGCTTGCTTAAAGAATGAATCAAGCATAAGCTGTTTGCAGACGACGAGCTTTTTTGACAGCTCTACTTTCAACAACTTATATCCAAACTATTGTAAGCCAGCAGCTTATTTGAATGTTATGTTAAGTGATTATCATCTAATTTAAGCTGAACTAATTTAAGTTGAATATTATTCTGTGCTATTTGTTTTTTATAAGCGAGATTTGTTTCGGTAGTTCAAGTGGACTACAAGACTTCAACATTCATCTTAACGTAGGATTTCTGAAATTATAACTGTGTAAGCAGGAATATTTGTTGGTCTGGATGAATTTTTCCCGTACATCTTGCAGCAAGTTTTAAGCATGATTTGGCTTAAATCTCAAGCTGATTCCACAGTCTTAATCTTCTCATGCTATGCAAACCCATTTTACCTCTTTTAATGGTAAATTGTGGATTTGATAAATTTTGTTAGAGCTCAGATTTCAGTAATTTAGCTTTCTTTACATTTGTCTTTTTCTTATTGAAACCTACCCACTCTCGGATTTTCATGTTGCTGCAAGGAGCTGTATTTGTAGGAGATAAGAGGAGAAATGGAAGAAAGATTTGATTTTAATTTTGGTGGTTTAGAAGGGAACGAGAGAGGACTGCAAGGATTTTGTAGTAGAGTAAGAGAAACTTTGGTGATCAATGGAGCCTGTAGCTTTTACTTAGATATATGTTGCCATGTTGGTTTTCCTATTTCTCTGATTGGCTTGTTTATTGTTCTCTAGAAAGAATCTGGTTTTTACTGTTCTGTTGGCCTGAATTTTTGTTTGTATCTTTTCACTACGGTTTAAATGTTTAATATGTTTTTTTTCCCCGACTGTTTTGGATTTTCCTTTTGCCTAGCCTAGATCTGATTTATTAGTATCACTTTGTTGCTTTTTTTTACAGCAAAAATTTGTCCTCTCGTTGGATTGTACCATTGAAAATGTATGCTTTATTGCAATTGATATTTTCGTTCTTAAACAAATATGGAGTTCTACTTTTATGTGCCCATTGATGCATTATTTTTATATAATTTCACAGTTTATATTTGTCGGCGGGGAAAAGGATGGTGGGGTTGCCCGTAAGAAGCTATCGGTCACCGGAATTGAAATCCCGTCGCCCGCTTCGGAATGACGTTTTTTAATTTACATATAGATTTAAGTTTAAAATCAAATATGAAAATCAAACTGACCCCATATTTTTCATAGTTTAAATGAAAAAACACTTTACCTCAAACCCTGTATCTATCCCGAGGGATAAACACAAGACTTGAGGATGAGACTCGATCAAATAAACTAAGATGTATATGGCGTTCGTTTGGTCTGCGAAACCGTTTTATTTGCCGACAAAGTCCCCTATTTAATATGAAAAATTAAATAGAGTTTATTTTAAGCTGGGTCCGGAAAAGCTTCCTATAAGGGCAAACCCCTATGGTTAATTACATCTTAAATGACCGAAATCACTTAAGAATACTCTCGATAAAAATCAGGAAAAATTATCTTCAAGGACTTCAAAAGGATAGGACTTTTCAACGAAATCGGACAAAGAGGTGTGCAAAAGGGAATGATTCAAACTTGGAACATTTATTACAGAATCCGAAGAAAGAAGAACTAGGGGATGCCACAGATTCAGAGGAGATCCTCGGTAGCTTCCCAGTCTATCCTATGGTTTGGTTTCAGTTTCGAGAAAAAATATTCAAGTGTTTTATCTTGCCAATTTTATTTAATTACAGCTTAAATTCGTGTGAAACGATCACACAAATAACCTGGAAGATGTGAGGATTTAGGTCGTAACGAACGACAACCTCAGAATCTTAGAACGAGTTAGAGTTTAGATCGTACATCGGAGCCATACGAATACCTAACGAAAAGATTGAGGATTTATGTTGCTTTAGGCGAACAACCTCGAAATCCTACGGATTGTTATTTTAATTTTGATTTAGCTGTGGAAGACATGTTCTGCTGTTGAAGATGGTCGTTCTGCCCACCGCGCTGGTTCCAAACTCGTTGTCGTGACGAGTTTAAGTTTTCTAGAGTGTCCAGTTATGATGTCAAATTAAACGATCCTATGGTAATAGTCCTCTGAACATCCTATATGGAAAGAAGACATGCTTAAGACTATACAATATAAAATGTGCAGTACAGGACAAGTGAAGTCTGGAAGAAACGTCATCCAGGAACCCCGAAGAAGAGTGTAACAACAACTCATGACCGAAAACTCGAGAAAATCAACGAGAAAAGACTCAAGTAAAAATCCTATCCTGCCAGTTTTATTTAATTAGAGCTTACATTCGTGTGAAACACTCACACAAATAGCCTGAAAGATGTGAAGATTTAGATCATAACGAACGACAGTCTCGGAATCCTAAAACGAGTGAGGGCTTAGATCGTACAACAGAGCTACACAAATATCTAACGAAAAGGTTGAGGATTTATGTTGTACTAGGCGAACAACCTCTAAATCTTATGGATTGTTTTAATTCTAGGAATAGCTGTTGGGGAAGACATGTTCTGCTGTTGAAGATGATCTTGCTGCCGACCGCGTTAACTCCAAACTTCTTGTCGTGACGAGTTCAAGTTTTCTAGTTATGATGTCAAATCAAACGACCCTATGGTAATAGTCCTCTAAACATTCTAAATGGAAAGGAGACATGTTTAAGGCTATGTAATATAAAAATGTGCAGTACAGGGCAAGCAGTAGAAAGCACAATAAAAGAAACCGTGTACATGTCATACATGACAATAGCAGGTATAGTAAAAGAAACAGTATAGCATGTTTTATAGAGCGGTAGCAAGTACAGTAAAATGAACAGTGTAACATACCTTACAGAACAATAGCGGGTAGAAACAAGAATAATATAACATGCTGTACAAAACAGTAGCAGACAAGAACATGAATATAATAACACGCTGTAAATGTAAAACAAACATGTACGCCCGTGGGATCCACTGTTTCTTAAATATAACAAGCTGAAATATATTGCAAAAAGCGAAATCTGGAAGAAAAGCCGTCCAGGAAATCCGAAGAAAAGTGTAACGACGACTCATGACCGAAAACTCGAGAAAATCAACGAGAAAAAGACTCAAGTAAACATCTTCAAAAATCTCGGAGAAATCTTAAAGAAACGAAAAGAAACACAAGTGCTCTGTCCAAAGCTTCGATAAAACAAAAAGTTCAGGTAAGGGGGACCGCAAACACTTGTGTAGGGCTAGACTCAGATATATGTATATGTACTCGAGGGTCCACGAAGGCTACTCGGTCACCCGAACGTATAGAACCCGCCACTTATCTAGAAGTGTGTCTTGAATCTCACCTAGGGGCTACTTCTCAGCCTAAATAGACATTCGTGAGGTGGACAATCAATTTTAAAATGTATTTTTAAAATTTATGTTTTTGACATGCACATAGGTCTCAAAAGAGAGATTATCAAATTTTATTTTATAGCAAATTTATATCAAATTTTATTTTATAGCAAAAAATATATTTTTATTCTTTTTGAAATAAGTTTAAACAATTTTTATTGCCCACAAGTCAATTATGCTGCCGGACGTGAGCTGCCAACCACCTAGGGAGGTTCAAGCTAACTCCCGTTAGACTTATGTCGGTGAAAAATACTGTTATCTTATTGTTCATCAAATATCTGGATCTTGATGTTATAGGATATGACATCTTTCGTGACATATTTCTGCTCTATCTTCAGTGTGACTTTATCATCACCACCCTACGCCCCAAAACAAACTACTTGCGACCTTGCTTGATGGTTTCACGTATAACAAAAGACTATACGTGGACACCTATGCGTTGGACATAAGCGTCGAAAACCGAACCAAGAAGCAAGGAAAGAAAAGAACAAGAATGAGGTGAGAGAGAGGAGACACTGATCCATCTAAAACACCGAGAAGGAGAGTGGATCAGTTCTCAAAACTCCTATCGAAAAGACCTGGAAAGTAGGGCCCAGGGTCTTTCCTAATAAACATAAAAGACTACTTTGCGCTGATTTTTCTAATCCCAAAGACGTAGGATTAATCAAATCAACCAAATGCTCTCCCAAATAAGGCTTGCAAATCCTCCCAAACCCCAAGTTGATATCAAAATCGATATCAAAATCTCAAGTTGATATCAAAATCTCCCAACTCCCAAATTAATCCATGGCCTCACACCTCAAACATACACGAAATTTTTCCAATGCACTTAGGTGTAAGATCCACGGCCTAAGCGAGGTAAAGCCAAGAAAATTCAGGGGTAAAAGCCAATATCAGCACCCTCTAGCTCCAGACTCGACTCTAGCTCCAGCAATATCAGCACCCTCTAGCTCCAGACTCGAATAAACTCCCACAGGTGACTCACGACCAAGGCAAAGAGGAGGCCCACGACTAAGGCAACCCAAGGTCAAAAGAAGCTCACAACTAAGGCAACCCGAGGCCAAAAGTGGCTCATGGCCAAGGCAAACCCGAGGCCAAAAGGTGAGGAGGCTTGCGGCTAAGGCAACCCAAATCGATTATATGAAGATATTTGATATACATAGGAGAGTGAATGGACAAACCTTCACAAAGCCTCCAAACCAACTCCAATTTCACCAAGTAGGACATGAGGAAATTGTTGAACACGTCCTTCAATCACCTCACTTTATAGATAGGGCAAAGACATACATTTAAACTTGACTCATCAATCAACACCCAAGCTACTTCGTGTAGGAGGAACCAAATAAAAAAAAAAAAACGAGGCATTCAAGGCCAAAACGAGGTCAAATAAGCAAAACCGAGCCCAGCCACCAAACTAGCTCTCGAGTAAGAGCCAAAGTAAGTAAATCCGAGTTCCAAGGAAAGCTAAAATCGAGCCATTCAAAGCCAAACAGAGTCCAAGCATAGATTAAAACCCAAGCCTTAACAGATAGCCTTAACAAAAATTAAAATCCCAGCCATCTTAAGGTGAAACCAAGTCAACCCAAGTTTTTCATCAAATTCCAGACTAGTCAAAGATCAAACCGAGCCAAGCAAGGCCAAAACCCGAACCCAGCAAGGGTAAAAAACCAAGCTGCAATTGAGACCTCCACACTAAGCCATAATAAAGTTAGAGCAATATTCTCATGCTTTTAAGACATCTCAAAATAGAACTACCATATGCTTTGAGTGAAAGTGGATGAAAGCTTCGTAATACATATACTAACATGCTCATGAGAAGGGCCAATTATTTCAAAACCATCCTCTTAATTACTTCCAATATAATTATGCCTTGGGAGATAGGAAAATATGCCATGACTTCAACACTTTAGATAAGCAAAGTAAAAGAAAGGACTAATAGCATGCCACATCTAACTTCTAGCATATATGCATATTTTTTTATCTTTCACATGCTTTAAGTGATAAACATTTCCAAATACAAGCATAGTGGCAACTAGAGTGCTAAACCATACCCTGAAATCATCATCAGAGGCTCGGCAAGGTTAAAACCAAGAGCCAGTAAAGCACAGAGAAAGGGAGGGAGAAGGAAATACACACCCTCAAGCTTTTAAATATCATTCCCACATAACAAATGTATAAAGAATAAGTTAGAACATGTTCAGGAATGAGGCAAATAGTAATCTTCCTATTCTAGCATGCTAGCAGGGCTCGACAGAGAACATGGACGAGCACAAATAAAGCGCAAGGGCTCGGTAAAGAGCAGGGCCGAGCACAGACAACGCACAGGGGGAGAGGGAAGAAAGTACCTCTTTGAAGCAAAAAGAAAGTAACACAGAAACTTTAAAAGCACTCCACAACTTCACTTCCTCTCCCAACAGTAGGAGGAAACCGATTCAAACACCAGAAGATCAAAGAAGTGAGTGAGAAAGAAAAATAACAGAGTTTTTTTCTCCCTTAGAAAGATTTTCGGCCTCTTAGAAGCTTCACAGAGGAGCTCTCATATACGATAAGGGCAGACGAGACGACTGATTAAGAAGATACGACAGAGGGATCGTGAGACGCGAAGGATTAGATCCTCGCAGAGGATACGATCCGCGACAGAGAAGATCGAACCCATATTGCAGAAGATAGGATACGAGGGATGGACGTCTGCGAGATTTGTCTCGCGTGTGAAAGGCGAACGCTGGAACGAAACCCCCCAAACGGCACGAAGGAGCGGGCCGGACGACCGAACGAGCCATCCTAGGGCGAAGGCAGGCCCGCGGGTTCGAACAAATGAGGCGGGGAGGGAGATGGATTTAGGTTAAGGGTTTTTTTAAAATAAGTTATTAATAATAATAAAAATAATAATAAAATATTATTTATTATTCTAATTAACACTTAAATAGGTATTTTCCCCAAGACGCGTTGTTGCAATGAAACGAATGTCCTCCCCAAGCAAAATTGCCGTTCCGGACGCATCGGCGCAGTCCGTTTCGTCATCCGGAGTCGTCCGGGCAACCTCATCGTCGATCGGGCCAAAAAACGAGTCACGGTTCGAATCCTATGAAAATTTCGACTCGAATTCGATTAAACAGGACGGCGAAGAGCGCAGCGGCGCCAAATCAACGAGTAGAGTCAATCCTAAGGCCGTCAGTCCTATAGGAATGCTCCTTGAGTTCCTTCGGAGTAGCCTTACCTGCTAAGCAATAGCGGTCAAGACTATTACATGGAACGTCAAGTCGAGCGAAGAAAAGTCCAGAATTGCTAATAAGGAGGGCTCCTTCACTAGTTTTCTAGGAGTAGTCGACAGCAAGGTTGTACGGCTAAATCCTAGGCTACTAAGGAGGGGAAAACTTCACCTCGACCGAAAGCGAGGTCAACAATATTTCACATCAAGTTTTTTCTTCTGCTTTAAGTTTCTAGTTAGATCTCATAATCATTTAAAATGACCAAACAATTTATTTGTATTTTAACAATTGTAGTTTTCAAGATGTAACTCACGATTTATAGAACTTGGATTTATGCCATTTATTGCAAGCCGCTTGGTTGATGAGTGTTGTGTTTTGAAATGCAACGATTTTGAAATTGTGTGTTTAATTTGAATTAAATGGAATGCAAGTGTAAGATTTCAAGGAATTCCAAACTCATCTTATAGTTCTATTTTGGTGTATTCTAAATTAGTCGATTGGGCTTTAAATATACTATAAGTTGCTTCCGTTATTACCACCCATAGCCACTCGCCATTGCCGAACAGTTTGTCACCATTGGCAATAGCTCCCACCTTCGCCTGTCACCGCCGGTGGTTGCCGTTGAAGGAGCTGCCCTCCTCATTGGCCCCCACCATCAGCTCCCATCGATTGACATTCGCTGCCATTGGATGAACTTCGCCCGCCGCCCACCACCCGCCACCCATTGGTGACCACTACCTTTGCCGCTTTGTTTTACATTGAATTCATTTCACTTCGAATCATACACAAAAAGTGATCTGTTGTATTTGTTTTACACCCAACCAAACAACTCTAAAATACTTCAAATTCTCAACATTTCAAATATGATGTATTCCTTTTATTCTGCATTTCTTTTTCAGCAAATTAAATTGTCCCCATGTCCTGCTTGAGCTAAGTTGTACTTCAAGCCAAACTGCCTCAAATAATTTACATGGCTGGATTTTCAATTAAAAGTGCAAGTGTGTAGTACTATTTTTCCTTTTATATGTGTAGTGGAACTCATGGTGCTGCTGATATTACGTGATTGATATTGCAAGTTTTCAAGGATCTTTTCTTAGTAACAGGGGTGCCGTCTCACATTCTTCTTTAACTATCATTATTAGACTTTAAATGCAATTAACAATAGACGCTGTTAATTCATAAAAAAAGAGACTTTAAATATCAATCATGAACTCCACCTCCCCCCTGCCAAAAACAAAAGCAGGAAAGAAGGAAGGAAGAATGGAAGAATAACCAAAAGTTGTCTGGCAGTGCTTGTAAATACTGGAGATGATGTTTCAATAGGGAATGACAACCCTTGCAATTCTAATGGGTTTCCTGAAATTGCAAACACTTACTACCATTATTTGATTGATGAAGTTCTACTTCTAGATTAATAGGGAATGACAACTCGTGTGATTCTAGTGGGTTTCCCGAATTTGCTTACTCTTCCCCCCTCCCTCTATTTGATTGATAAAGTTCTACTTCTAGATTTACTTTTGATTTCCAACTGGCGACATAACTCTAAGCAAATGCATTTACGGTTGATGTCTTGCAGCTGCTATTCTGAAGGAAAAGCTTTCAGCTTTAGGCTCATCTGGAACGTTGGCAGACCATCAACTCCAGACAGAGTTGCAAGAACAACAGTTGAGAGGGTGAGTTAATGGAAACCATTTGTTGTGATAATTTTTCTTAATACTTATACCAAGTTTGTGTGGGGTATTTTTTTTTATATTTTTTAAATGAGTTTGGAGTGGTGCTGTAATTCTCCTTCTTCTTTCAATGTATCTTCGTCATGGGCAGAAAGTCATGTTTTTTTCTGTGAAAGCTATCACTTGGACTTTAGTGGGTGTGAGTACTGTGTATATTAACGGATTTTAGTGTGACATTTCTAATCTGCGGTTTAATACCAGCTACATTGATAGTGGAGGAGATTAAACATTATCGAAGTTTAATTTGGCATATGATGCAATTTAGTTTTCTTAAAGTGATATTTTGTCTGGGATTAGCACGTTGCTTGCTTATTTTCCATGAAAGAAATCTACTTTCATGATAATTATGAAAATTATAATTTATCATGCTATTTCTTGTTGAATCATAGAAACCATTAACTTGGCAGCTGTATTTGAGTAAGAAGTTCCTTTTTGCATTGCATATAATTTAAGTTTACCTATAAGTCTACTGGTATGTATGGAAAATTTGCTAGAGGTACATGTGTGGTCATCAATTGACTTAACATGTTTCTGAAAAAACTGTGAAATAATGTTACTCTGTATTATAGAACCATTATTTCATGCTGCTATAATTTCTGGTTTGTCAAATTATCTCATAGTTTATTTGACCTATTTCTGTAAGTTGATCTTTCTTTAATTATTTCCTCTCATCAGACAATGTTGATATGATATTTTCTTTTTTTTTTACCCGCCTGAAGTTATCTTTCGGATATCTAGTCTCATTGTTAATATTTACAACATGGATCTTATTCTGATATTCTTATAGCACTTTCACTCTGATTGTACCAGCAGAACTCAGGTTACAATGTCAGATATTGCGCGGAAAGCATTCCTTCACAGTGTATGTTCTCCCTTTATTTTGTTGCTTTAATCTTTATAATGCCTGTTGTGGTAGGAAAATCACATAGTTCTAAGCCAGCTATAGTGCAAACTTGTATTTTTAAGTTGGGTAGACTTGACTTTTTGTCTAGCATATTTAGCTTATTTGTTTTTGTTGGACAATATGAGAGAAGAATACTATATATTTTCATATTTGAATATGTATAGGAGAAACATAGCACAATAGTTGGGGCTAGATTTAGGCATAAGTGATAGCACAGATAAACCATAATCGACCCTATTGAGGAGGGAAATATGAAAGAAAATACACAATCAATTGCAATATAGTATGTGGTGAATGCAAGGGACCGGGTGCAGTAGGAGGCAGACGAGCTTGCTTTCCTGGATTGGATTCCCGGTTCAATTTAGCAGCTCCAGGGGCCGGCCGGCCCTGGCCTTAATAGGATTTGCCACCCAACTGATGGGGGGCTCAGTCCTAAATTATCCTAGGTTATATATTTGATGTCGGATGTTTCAGGGTTTAGTTTTTCATGAGTTCTCTATCAAGACAGCCGTTGACATCTATGAGTTATTTCTTCTAGGGCTATCTCCAAGGGCGGCTAGTGTTTCGACTGTATCTCGTTTCGAGGTGGTGATTCTCCTCCAAGTGTCAAGTAATGCTTCAATCATATCTCGCTTCCGAAGTGGTATTTAACCCCGACCTTCCCATCTTCCGTACTCCTCCCCTCGTACTTTCTGTAGCTTTTCCGAAAACCCTAGTTCCCCCTTCTCCTTGCTGTATGCACCACTAAAGCGCCATCTTCCTTGCTGCCCCCACATAGGACACCACTCTTGCTGGAATGTAGTCCACAATCCTTCTTCTTCACTACACCTTGCTTTCCCAGCCCTCCACGCTTTGCTGTCACTATTGTTCCAGGCCTTTCGCCTCACCGCCGTCATAGTTTCAGCCCCTTTTGTTGTTTCTAGCAACCCCATAGCCCATTCTAGCCACCTACCGCCACTCCCTAAACATCTCGTCGATCCCACCGCCTCAGATCGAACCTATTGTCAGTTTGTGTTGTATTGTTGTATTTCCCATTTCAATATTTGTTTTGTTTTGACTGTTTATTTGGTTTTTCCATTAATAATATTTGTGTTCCCATTGTATCATTTGATAGTAGCTAGCTCTATTTTAAGGTTTCTAGTATCCATAATACCCAACCCCACCTCTACACAAAAATCCTTCCCTTTGCTATTTTTTCAGACAGACCACCTAAAAATTTTCTTTACCATCCCGCATCATCCCTATAAACCCTCTTCCACCTATTTGAACCCAAAACCAAATCCCTACAACGCCACTGAAGATAAATTGCCGGAGACCTGCTTGAGAGGAAATGTCACAATTTCGCTTATGAGAAATCCACAAAGAGATGTCCAAAAGCATCTATAAAGGATGTGCGGCGGGAAATTCCTAGCTATAACAGAGGCTTGCTGCCTTTGAGAGATGGCAATCTGGAAGGGTCACCCGTAACCACAATGGGAAATTGCCCGGTCAAAGGAGTACGGTAAATGCTTTCCACCAGGCATATTCTAGAGATGCAGAATCAATATCTTGAAGATTTGACAGGAAATATTAGAGAATTTAGAATTTTAAAGTAAATGTGGATTTGTCTGATTTTGATGGTCATATGGATCTTGATGAGTTCATTGAGTGTTTCTAGATAGCGAAACATTTCTTTTAGTACCAAGACGTTCCCTTGGACAAAATGTTGAAATTAGTCACCAACAAATTCAAGTAGTGTGCGTTTTTCAGTGGGAAAATTTGAAGCGTGGATGCCAGTGCGAGAGAAAGGATAAGGTCACTTTTTGGTCTAAAATGAAATGGGAGATGCAACGTCATTACTGACTGGATGTTTAGACCCCAACTTTAAAAGTGGAGATTATCAACATATGACCGCTACAACTTACAAGCATAATTCAACTAGGATCGAGCAGTAGGGTTACACACAGAGGAACATCCAAGCCCCCGACTGAGAAGCCACTAATTCAAAGAGGAGAAATGTTGAAACCAATCCAAAATATCAAAACCATTTTAGTTAGGAAGTGTTTTAAGTGCCACTGATTTGAGTATATTGAATCAGATTGCACAACCAGAAGAATGTTATCTTTAATAGATCAGGGGGTGGTTGAAGAAATAAACAATGATCTCAGAGAAAATGAAGATTTTAGTGAGGATTTTTAACTTCCAGTTGACGAAGAAGAGACGCCAACGATTCTAGCTAGTTGTTTCAGAAGATTGTGAGTCTGAGGAGTCGATACTTGAAAAGGAACAACCTCTGTTGACAGAATTACCAGATATCCTAACCGACAATTCACCTTTTGTGTGGTTACCCTTGAAAGTCATTCAACATGTCCGATGAGAAGATTTCAGATATTAAATTCAGTTCAACAATATTTCTACAGACAAATGTCCGAACATAAAGGATGAACTATAACTTCGAAAATTGTCTTGGGAGCCAGATGAGGAAGAAAATTCTACAATGGGATTTAGGTCCTATTAGAGAAGAAAAGAGATTTCTCCTGAGCGGTTGCTAGTGAGAGTTGTTCCACCCGTCATAGATTTCATCCCAGAGTTGATTTTTCCTTACATACTTGTTTATCATATACACTCAGAGGAGTACGACGAATGGAAGAAGCTAATTACAGATTTAATGACTCAATATTTGGTTCGTGAGAATACCCATCCACATGCAATCATATTTCTGGTTGTGTCAGAGGAGGACAAATACATATTATATCAGGATGCAGTTTGGTAAGGCAACATCACTTTCAACTTGAACGATTTGATGTCATATTACAAAGGGAAAAACTTCAACGTTTGAGGTTGAAGCTCCTCCAACACTGGGAGACTGATGCTGGTGCTCCCATGGGACCAGAGGCAATAGGAGATAGGCGAGTTTGATGTGTTGGATCAGATTTTCGATTTCGTTTAGCAGCTCCAGTGGTCAGCCTAACCTAGCTATCTTAGGATTTGCCGCCCAACTAATGGGGGGCACGATCCTAAATTATCCTAGGTTATTTATTTGTTTTGTGATATGTTGGGGTTCAGTTCTTCATGAGTTTTTTGTCGACAGTCGTCGGCATCTCAAAGTTTTTTCTTCTAAGGCAGTATCCAAGGGCGAGTGGTTCTCAGGTTGTATCTTGTTCTGATGTGCTGATTTTCCTCCAAGTTTTGAGTGGGTTTCAGTTGTATCTCGCTCCCAAGGTTGTTTTTATCCTTGACTTTCTCATCATCTGCACTCCTCTTTGACTTGCTATTGTCTTTCCAGAAACCCCATTTTGCCCTATGCTGCTAGCACCCCTAAACTATCTTTTTTCTCGCTTTCCTCGCATAGGACAGCGCTCCTCTTGTCAGCATGCAGTGCTCAATCCTTCCTTTTCATCGTCCCTTGCTGTCCCAGCCCTCTGCTTCACTGCTGTTACTGTTCAATGCCTTCCGCCTCACCGCCTCACCGCCATCACAATTTTAGCCCCTCCCACAGCTCATTCCAATCATCTATCACCACTCCCTGACCCTCTAGCCGAACTCCACCACCTCCGGATCGAATTTTAGTATGAATTTGTGTTGTATTCTTATATTTTTTATTTTGTTGTGTGTTTGGTTGTAACTGTCTATTTGGCTTTTTTAGTAATATTATTTACGTTTCTATTATTATTGGGTCAACTTTGGTATCAGAAGAATACTATATATTTTCATATTCAAATGGGTAGAAGAGCTTTAATATGTATAGGAGAGACAGCCCGACAGATAAACCATGATGGTTTATCTCAACCCTAATGAGGAAGGAAAACAGAAAAGAAAATACACATAATCAAATGCAATTTCGTATGTGGTGAATGCAAATTTTAAATTGATTCCAGATTTGGAAACCCAAGATCAATGATAGCAGAGGGGTGGCATTTGAGGCTTGCAACAACGCTGTAGAACTGCAAAAGAAGGAGTCATGACTGCCATTGGCGGCGGTTTGATTAAAAAAGCAGTTTGAGGTGTTGCTTTCAGGATTTTTATACTCTCGCTCAAGCTAAGGAGTATATGTTGATCATTCCATGCTTGAAAATAAGTTTGTCAAATAGCAATTGATTCAGACCTTTAATAGGAATATAAACCATTTGCTGTTTTGTTGGAGTGTAACTAACTTTTATAATTCCTTGTTCAACCTTTTTTTTAGAAAGTATCAGTTAAACTTGAGGTGCTTAGTCTTATCATGATTGAGATGAATTTTAACAATGCTGATAGTAGCTTGATTTGGGACATTATGAAAAATTTTAAATCTTTGAGGAGGCGTTTGAGCAACATACCTTACACAAATTCTTATAGAAAAAACCTTGAAGTCTACCTTAGCACTTCGGGGAGCAATCATAGATTATTATTTTTTCTATTTCACTATACAATTAAAATTTCCCCCATAAATTGCAATACTTGGGTGGATTTACGATTAGCTACCTATCCTTCCTAGTCAATGTAAGTGGAGATTTTTAACAATGTTGTAAACTGCTCTTTGGGAAATTTTCTTAGATTCTTTGTCTGAATATCCTCTTCCTTTTATAAGTGGTGTGCATTTAGCTTTTTTAGGAATAAATGGTGGAATCTTCTAGCGGCATGTACCTTGCTCTTTTGTGCTTTTCTCTGCTGTTTTAAGCCGGATAGCCATCAAACACCTCATATTTCCAAATGCCATCGACATCCCATATTTTCACTTCGTTGTTATTCCACACCCCTTCCCTCACTAAATTCTTTTTCTAAACACTTTCTAGGAACCTTAGAACGGTGTCATATAATATAAGAGCCCCACAAATTCTAAATTCTTATGGATTTGTCTTTTTTGTTCCAAATCAAAATTCCAAATCAACTAACCTGATATCCTTAAAAAAAAAAAGAAAAAAAGAAATTACTACCATACCCTATTTATTCTTACAGCAATTCTTGGCCACAAGCCTAAATTTTCAAAAGCCAACTTTCCT